TATATATATTATATGTATACACAAAGGGAGATAAATTCATATGTATACACATATTATATAAAGGATATATAAATCGAGATAAACTGTCATCCATTATAGACGAATACTCAAATGCTCAAAAAAAATAAATAAAAGGCTATAACTTTCAATCCAATTCAGTCTCTTCAGTGTCAATGATAAAACTTCTGAATTGTTCCCCCCACCCAAAAAAGTTACTTATTGCTCTGTATCAGCTGACTAAATTTACAATGTATAAATGGAGCAGAGCTACACGCGAGAGGTGATGACGCTATTTCAAACAGCTCTAAAGGTAACTGTACATCTACCTGGCATCGCTGGAGCATCTTTGTAAGTACTTTTTCTCACCAAATGGAGAGTTTATGGGAAACAACAGTATCGTTCATAATTATGAATTGCTGTTGATAAAACTCAATTTTTCGTTAGTTTAATTTCGGAGTCATCATAGGAGTTCTTCCTTAGGCGGCTGATGCTCCCATCATCTAAGTCAATCAAACTAGGGACACCTCCTGGGTATTTGTTGATTTCACACTCATCTATGTCGTTGCTGTATTGCTTGTGACTCTCCACGTTCTCAGTTTGGTAGGGATCCTGTACCAATCCTGAGAAGGAAGTGCTTATATCGGATCTACACAAGTCTGATGAGGTTAACCTAAGTCTTTTTTTTTTTAAAGTTTAAAACTTTCGGGTTACTGAAATGGCGGTCAACAAACTGCTTAATGTACAAAGTTCATAGCTTGGACCATCAGTCTTCGATCCAGGATGGTTGGTTCGGAATGCTGTAACAGAGCTTTTGAACCATCAGGGGCGTAACGCGCGGCGCTCTCGTGCGGCGGTCCGCAGGGCCCCGACCCCTAGGGATCCGAAGGGGGTCCCTTCTCATAGGATTCTCGATCTAGCACCATACCCACAAGGGCTTTGTGATACATAACAGCATAATGTGTCTCTGATATCGACTACAAGACATATAATATATCATATGGTATAGACTCCACCTGTGAAGGTACCTCCTTTTGGGCCCCCTCTTTTTCAAATTCCTGGATCCCCCACTGTTATAATATCATTTATTTTGTCGTTAAAACATCTAGAACAAAATGAAAAACATGAATAAAAAACGAGCACATCTAAAATCCCACAATTGGCGACCGGGACCCTAAAGGGCTCCCAGTCTCAGAAAGCCCGTCCCGGGCTCCATCGTTACGCCACTGTTCATAGAGATATTGCGTATCAACAAATACAATACAAATAGAAATATTTATTATAAAAGGAACATAGATAAAGTCTAATATTAAATGCAAAAGCTTTTACGTAACGAAACACAGTGAATGGAACGAAACACAGCGAGACGGAATTCGGTCGCACTATTCTCTGAGTTTTTTTGTATTGTGCTTCGTCAATAGCAATAATTTATAATAACCTTTCCATTTCGTTTATTGCTGCAAGTGCAACCTTGGGCCAATATCCCAACAAAAAAAGAAGGGAAAAAAACACAATTAAACACAAAAAACAACAACAATATAATAGTAACTATGCACCATGGGGTAGAGACATTACTCCACTGAAATCGAATGGTAATAACTTGGTGTGATGTCAGATCATTGTGATGTATTAAAATACACCACCTTGTAATTTGTTGTTGACCTGAGTAGAAATGACACAGAAAGCATGGTTTATAGGACTACCGTGCATATACTATTGTTGAATATTATGTTCTTCCACGTCACACCCACACCTTCATCAATGATGGTGTAAACTAATTTATTTTAATTTCTAATTTTGAGGAATACAGTATACAGTTTCCTCCTTTTTTATTTATACTTTTCATTATATAGATATTTGTATCTGAAATAAAGAAATGAATGTATGAATAGTCCGTGCAGTACCGTTAGTATTTTAATGCACCAGTAAGCTACTCGAGGCATGATTCCCGACCGATGGTTTTAGGCCATTGTTCCAAATTCCGTCTCGCTGTTCCATTCACTGTGTTGTACCTCGTCGATTGCCTTTGTACTTACTTTTAAAACTTCATAGGCCTATTTATTTTAATAATAAATATTTGTATTTGTATTGTATTCGTTGATACACAATGTTTCTATAAAATCGAATATTAGGACTTCTAAAATTCTGTAAATGGCTCTGGTTACCTTTGCCGGGCCAGTGTTCCGGGGCCCCCGTTGTCATGAAGTCACAGGGCTTCCAGATCCGGCGTTACGCCACTGTATAGGACTAGATGATGATTACTATTATTATTATACAGATAAATATGTGTCTAATAATGGTATGATTCATGTTGAGTATATGCTGTTAGGAAATATCGTAACACTTAGTATTTGTATGCCATTTTGTATTTTCACTGTTAAGAAAACAGTGGCAAAACAGGGGGAAATTCCCCTCCCTAAATCCGCCCCAACATGTGAGGACTTAGGAACAAATGTTATGACTATGATGGCAATTAGATGGCCAGAAATGGAACTCAGTCTTAGGCCTAAATTTGAATATACTTTTCTTCTTTTATCTCCATTTTTAAATTTTAATATAGTTTGGGAAGGGGTCTGGGCCGAAATGGGGTGGTGGGGGCAAGGTTAAATGGCGATGCTCAATGACTAAGTTATGGAGATTCAGATGGAAAATATGGTGATATGTAGCGTATTTTGTGAATAATTGCGAGTAATTTTTTTGCTAAAGAATTTTCAGTGGGAGGTGTGTGGGGAGCAACGTATTTGGTAGGGGGGTTATTTCTTGTGCTCTTATTTTCTTCCCAATGCATCACTGATACCTTTTTATGATATCAGATAAAATAAAATGACTATTGTATGATATACAAATGAATAACGATGATCTATTTGCAATTTTTTAAAAACTATTTTTCGGCAGCGGCCATTTTAAAATTCGAAATGGAGACCCTAAAGATGACTAAAAAAAAAACAAAAACTGGCAACCATTTTTTTTCTTAATAAGTAAAATTTTTAGATGTTTTTATACATGTTTGGCAAGAATCTACAAAAAAAAATGACAAAGTTAAAAATATGACATAAGACAACAGACTAATAGTCTACCTGACATATAATGTTAGAATCATCATCATTATCAGTTACATATTTAATAGGTAGTTCTGAAAACCATTCCACTGAAGACAGGAGAATAATCTATGACGACATTTAACGTCGGGCTCAAGGTAGATTAGTATTTGTATCAACTAGGCGCAGAAATTGTATGAAATGGAAGACCTGCAACAATTTGATTAACAGTTTATATACAACCTGCTATTAATTGTTTTCTATGACAACTAATATGATAGCTGAATGTCGAGCAGTTGATGAGTAGCATACATTTCCTAAACACAATGTGTCACAATAGGTAAACGACACACGCCAGCTGACACTATTTGATGGATGTTTGTTTTCCTAGACTCCATTAATTATTTAAAGTGTAATGAATATTATAATTCTATAATTAGTTTATACCACATTTACAAGCTCATATCATTACTAACGATATCATAAATATAGTATCATAATCTTTATCATAAATACAAGTTGATGATAACAACGATAATAATGGCAATAATAATATAAATAAATGATAACAATACAGATGATATTAATAATACAGTAAATAATAATAAATAAATCATATAATTTGATGATAATAATGATAATTACAGTAATAATAATTATAATGGTGGTGATGTTGATGATAATAAACACCATAATCATTTGAAGAATAGTCATCTCACTCGTTATCGTCACCATTTTAATTCTTGTTCTACAGACATTATAATCATTATATTTGTCATCATCGTCTACGTTATCATTCATTGACGATCAGCATCATCATCATCATCCTAATTATCATCACCATCATCATTATCATCATCATAAACAACAACAGCATCATCACCACCACCATAATTATCAATATCATCATTATTGTCAACACAGTAGCAATAAATATTAGTAGTAGTAGCAGCAGCAGCAGCAGCAGCAGTAGTAGTATATTACCGTAGTAGCCTTAGTCACCGATGCCGTAATGCAGCGATTGACTTACATTCATTTTTATCTATATGTCAACATATGATTAAGATTGATATGCCAATTTCTATTGAAACTAAATTATTAAGCATTGAATTGACCATCGACCGCTAAAGAGACCGCTGTATCTAACCTGGATATGTTTTAAATGTGTATTTTTATTTTCTTTACAGGTTGGGTTGGTTCTATAGGATTTGGAATGGCTTACGTCGCCAACCCAATTTCAGCAAATTTATATCACAGATTCGGGTGCCGGAGAGTGTCACTATGTGGCGTCCTACTCGGAGCAATATCACTTTTCCTCTGCTCTTATGTTAAATCATTTGGACTGATGTTCCTTACGTATAGTTTGATGTTTGGATTTGCCACCAACTTAACATACAATCCACCTTTGATTTTAACAGGTGCGTGGTTTCAAACGCACCATCATGTACTTGCCACCTGCACTTTAGTGGCTGGAATTCCTTTTGGTAAGTTAACATGAAATAATTAATTTGTAATTACGATAATTGATAATTTCAATAATGTGTGAACAATTACCGGTACCTCATTCTGTGATTACGTCATATATGCGTATGTATCCGCCATTGTTATGGCATATGATCATTCGTAAAGCAATAAACGAATACATGTAAAATCTGCCATCAAGCATTCAAATAATTTGTTCTTCATTTCATCAGAATTTTCTAGTTTTAAGACGCTTTTTGATTGGATGAAAGTGTGTTTCCCTCTTTTAATGTAGATAACACACACTTAAAAAATATTTAAATTTAAATGATTTAAATCTTTAACTTTTCAATGTCGAATTGTTTTAAATGTCATCTTTCGCCTCTTCTCTTCTACATCGTTTATCATACAAAGAAAATTCAAACGAATTACGAAAGTGATGAATTCATTTCGCATTTTTCGTTCTATATATAGATTGATTTATCTTCAGCGTAATGGAACATCTATGTTTGACATAACTCATAAGTGTTGATGATATTGGTGCCATTGCTTGTATATCCAGAGCAGGCAGAATAGTTGACGCGCGCATAACGCGTCATGCACTCACTCAATGAGGAAACCAATATTACACTTTGTAACACCTCAAAATGCATGGATAATCTGAAATATATTATGT